GCAGCATTTACTAAAATTTGATCAATCAATGTCTAAATTTATGTACAAATCTCTACACCATGTAAGTTATTCTGTTAAATCTTTACCAAAAAGAGCTCTACAGATGAATCAGTTATTCTGTTAAATCTGTACAGATGAATTTGGGTTTGCTCCAAATAGAGATCTCTCTGCACCAATTCACCAATTTTCTTCTTCATTGCCCAAATCCATTAAAAAACTCTGGAAATCAACACTCATTCACAGTCCATTACCTTATAAATTCATGTGGGTTTGCTCCAAAAAAAACTCTCAGCATGAACAACCAACAAATGTTGAAATGAAACACAAGAAGTCATTCCCAACCCATTTACCATACCCAAATCAAGGGAAGGACAGAGAAAGAGGAGCTGTCCGGCGTGAAGGGGACGTCAGCATCGGAGTGAAGAACAGAGAAAGAGGACGTCAAGGAGCTATCGAGGGAGCTATCGGCGGAGAACTCTAGAAGGTCAGAGAAAGAGAAGCTGTCGGGCGTCGGATTGAAGGGGACGTCGGGCGTCGGAGTGAAGAACAGAGAAATAGGACATCGGAGTGAAGGGGAGTAGCTGTTGGGGGAGAGATCTGTATCTCTATGTGATAGAGATGAGGTATCTGGAATGAAAACCAACTTTAACCATTATTGGTTTTAATTTCTATTTATTGGTTTTCAAAACTGAAAGGTTGTGGAAGTTGAAAAGGAATGAAAACCAACTTTAACCATTATGTTTTAATTTCTATTTCTGCCCCTCATAGAAATAGAAATTATACAACTAGTATCTACACATTAGGTCCATAACACATATACCCTTAAGCCTATTAACTAAATTGAATCACTTAAATTGTAGGCTTCTTATAAATGATAACACCACATTTAATTATGTGGTCACATTGAGACATTATCTAACAATTGATACATGATAAATTTATTTTAAAGGATTTTATGCAATAAAAAATATTTATTTGTTCTTGTATCACTATACAAATATGGTGAAGAATTTTTGACCAAATTTTCATTTCTCTAAACCATAAAGCTCACTGGGATCACATTTTTGCTACACATGATAAAAGATTTGCTTTGATTGTAAGACTCTATTTGGATTGAGGTGAGGTGAGGTGAGGGGAGGGGAAGGAAAAGCTAGTTGTGAGCAGAGCCAGGATTTTGGCTTAGAAGGGACACCTTTGAATTAAAATCTTAACAAAACTCATAATTTAACTTAATTTTTATTTGATGGTAGGACTAAAAATTAGTGCGATGCAAAAGTTATATTTAAATATAAGATCAAGTTAACTAATCATTATCTTTATTGTTATTAATTTATTTTATATATGATGATCATCATAGTTTAAAAAATAATTGCATATACCCTCGTAAAATATGAGAACAAAATTATATTAAGATGCACACACACAGATAAAGAGATATAGCGAAGATAGAGAAAGAAATGAGAAAAAGATGAATAAATAATATACAGAGGCTATTATATATTACTTGTTTTTTTCACTGTTTTGAATAATTGAATTACATGGCAATATATTATTAGTTGTCATTAATTGTGTAATAATTATGTGTCGTATAAGAATTGATATAAAACAGTGACAAAATATTAGTGATATATAACATTTCTCTACTATAAAATTTATAACAATTTTTTTTAGCATAATTAAACATTTAAAGTGATAAATTAAACATTTTTTTTAATAAAAAAAAGGTAAAGAAAATAGTGATATAAAAATTTCAAAATATTACTTGTATTAAATTATATATTTTTATTAGAGGCAAAAGAATAATTTTTCAAAAATTGAGGGGGACACGTGACCCCTTTGGGCCACACATGCCTCAGCCCCTCGTTGTGAGAGAAGGAAAGGAAGAGAAAGTCTCCTTTATCTTATTTGGTTAGACAATATTTAATCATGAACAGATATTTCAATTAGATATTTGAATATATTATTATGAAAAATGCTTCACTTCCCTTCCGTTTCCTCCCGATTTTGGAGAAAAAATAAAGTCCTTAAAAGACTTGTACTCTCTTCCCCGCATAACCCCCTCTGTGCAGTTCCATTTCCATCCTTTAAAAGAATTCAAGCCTGATTTAAATAACCTTACCCTCCAAATCCTTTACTTTTCCTCCTACATCATCAATCCAAACGGACTGTAAATAGGGAAAATTAACAATAAATCTCTCATTGCATAAAAATAAACAATATAACAAAAAGTTTCTATAACAAGGGAGATTATTGGGAATGGGTTCAAGCTCGATACTAAAAAAACTTAATTTCAAATCCACTCACTTGACCCAACATATATGAGTCGTACATAGACTATGGGTTTAAAAAAAAAAAAAAAACCAAAAAACAAAATAAAAATAAAAATTGGAAATAGAGAATCCTCAATTGTTAGATGTAGCTAAAAGAAGCTCCAATTTTTATTTATTTATTTATTTATTTCGTTTTGTGTGTGTGGTGTTGTTGTGTGTATCTATATTTAGGGGTTGTTTGGGGTGTCTTAAATAAGTGCACTTTTTGTCTTTTTGGACTAAAAAATCGAGGAGAAAAATATGGATATTTGGGTTAACTTTTTGACTTTTTATGAAAAAATGTGTATTAAAAAATTGTAAAAATTGATTTGTAAGAAAAAATTAGAATTGGGAATTATGTAGCCGTAATTGTTGACTTTTGATGAATAGTGTTAACTTTTTAACTTTTTAAGTAACTTTTTAACTTTTTCTCAATATCCCAAACTTGACCTTAATAAGAGTTTTCTTAATTACTTTTTGTGTGCCATTAGGTTCAAGGACTCCGCTCTTTCAGTCCCTATGTCAATAATCCATTCTATTTATAGTGCAAAGAGCTGAGTTGGTGTTGATATTTTTTGTCACAAAATTTTTATTCCAAAATAATCTTTTTGTAACTAACAAGTCAAGCACAAATTATTCTATAATTCAATCTATAACTATCAATTTCAAGCATACACATAAGTGATGATATATATACCAAGGCTTATTTGGTATCACTTTAGTTTTTAAAATTTTTATTTTAAGACAAAAATTATTGAACGAGCTATTTAATATATATATATATATATGTATACACATAATTTTTTTTTTTAAATTTTACAATATAATTTTACATGTAGGCTCCGTTTGTTTTGACCTAAAATGTTTTTGTTAAAAATATTTTACTCATTTTCCGCCGTGTTTGATTGTTTTTAAAATTTTACAATATATTTTTACATGAAGGCTCCGTTTGTTTCGAGAGAAGATGTTTTTGTCATAAATATTTTTTACTCATTTTCCGTTGTTTGGTTGAACAAAAAGCAAGTAAAATATTTTTTTAAATAAAATATTGTTGCATAATTTTCTCAAAAATAGCTTACCAATAAAAATTTTGTAAGTCAATTTTTACAAAGTTGACTCTCACTCACCATTTTTTCAATACATTTCGTATTTTCAAATAAATATCTTAACTTACTAAAAAGTTATTAGATGACAATTTATTGAATCAAATTTTCTCTTTTAGGCAATGAAATATTTTTATTTCAAGTGTCAACCAAATGCCAAAAAACTAAAAGAAAAATATTTTTTCGATGTAAAATTAATTTACAAGAAAAATATTTTACGTCGAAACAAACAGAACAAAGTGAAAATAATATGAAATAAATAAGTATTTTCAAAATTTTCATTGCTTTAATTTGTGAAAACTAAAAAAACCTAAAACTACAAAATAAAAACCACACTAAACAAAGTGAGCGCAACAATCACGGTTGTGCACTCAATAGGACTCATTTTGGGTCACACTTTAATAATTCGAACAATTTATTTTTTAAGGTATATCAAGTAAAATATATTTGTAAAAAATTGATTAGAGATCGATAGCCCTTTCATTAATCACATTTATATCTAATCAATTTAATTTTTTATAAATATATTCTACTTAACATATTTTAAAAAGTGCATAATTTAGAGTATCGAAATATGATTAAGAATAAATCCCATCGGAAGCAGAGCAATAACTACAATGTTGGAAACACAACAGCCACCCCTTTTCCACTAAACAGAACCTAAATTTATGGACTTCACATAGATGGGTGTTTCTCAAATGGTTTTGAATTCTGACATCTAATTCCATCTTTTGAGTGGACTTTTGTGGTCTATGAATTGATAGAATTGTCTCAATTCACACCATTTTGTGATTTAGACGTCAATTTTTGAACAAATATCAGTTGTTCAACTACCAACTTACAAATAAATATACTATTCAGTAGTTGATATCCGAATAATTATTTTTTATTTAGAAATAAATATCAAAATAACGCAACAAACAAGATTGCTTAGAGAGTGAATTTTAGATTAAAATAGTTAAAAAGTCAAACAAAATTATCATATCACTTTCTCTATTTTTTATACGTCTTTTTTTATAAAAAGTCAAAAATTAAATAAAATAGCCAATTCCCAAACAAGCTCTAAGTATAGTATGTGAATAGAATTATTCCCAAGAAGTCAACACCAAAAACCCCAATTTTTAAGTTCCTTCATGATGCCATGAATTGTTTCTCAGGTTCCACAATTATTCTCTACCAAATAGTCATTTTATTAGAAAGGACAATTCAGGCTCTGGATAAAACAGGTTCTAGGGAGGCTATCATGCAAATAGTCTTGTCCCAGATTTCCGAAGAGGTTTATGTGAACCTGAAAATAGCCACTTCAAAAATAAAGTTCTATAAAAAACTGTTTATGTGACTTAAACTTCAAAATAGTTGCTCCAAAAATAAAACAAACCTTTTACTGCTCATTGTCGATCCCCTATGCAACCGTCTCTCATAATACAATTGCAAACCATTATGAATAATGGTGCAATCTGGACAAGAAAGGATAAAACCAGATGTTGTTTCTCTTTGACAGTAAAAACTGTTTTCAATTTAAAAATGTTCAACTAGAGAAAAATATGCATACCAAACAGATAAACACATTGACAAGAAAACCAAGCACAACCCACAAATGCTATGTTCATCACTATATTGCATACACGGGGCAAAAGGTAACGTCATAAATCTACAAAAATGTTTTATGAACTAGGTAACACACAACAGAAACAAAAGTAAACCACCACACAAAACCAAAGACACTTTAAAGTTACCAACCACTTAGTCTTCAACTGTTAGGACCAATACCCTGCCCAACTTCATTCATCCCTTACTATTTTCCTAATCAACTTCCAAGCCTTATTTGTAACAAACTGTTGCAAAAATACGAAAACAAAAAAAGCACTCACTGTAAGAAAATTATACGCACAACTTGGATACCAATAATGGTTCAAAGCAAGTTACCCCCAAGTTGGTATACATAATCTTTTATAAACTCTGGCGTCATGCAAAGAAATAGAATTCAAACTCCAAATGTTGCAGCTTAGCTTCTGCCAACATTTTATGTTGATGAGACTCCTCCTCTCTTGTCCTTGCCTTCTAAATGCTTCCTGCACAAACAGAGCATACAGATTTAAGGATCCAAATAAAAGCAAAAATACCATGTGTATGTGTGTATTTACTAGTATGCTTCTGAACGTAATTACTAGTATGCTTGTCACAGCTGCATCATTTTTACACATCATACATTTTCGTTCCTTTTCTTTTAAGTTCTTATTTTTTGAGGACACATCAGATATTACTAATCATCCTCAACCCAGACTACTATGACTACTTTGTACATAAGAGTTATGGACTTGGAAACTTCCAATCTTCCAATAGAAATGTTGGCCTACTTACATACCAGATATATTGCATAAACCTTTTGGGTGTTGATGAAACATGTTCCTATTCAGTGGCTTAGCCAGGATTTTAATTTAGTATAGTCATTCAAAAAATATCAAGTCATTATGTAAAATTAGTTCTACACAACCTTTCAAAATCAACTTTCACATAATACATTATAATTTTATATATTTTCAATCACATATACAAAAGTAATTCAAACTTCATCAAATTACGTATAAAAACAAACATTGAGAAGGGGTCGTTTGTTAACTCTTCCGTTTTTGTTTTGTGTTTTAGTATGTTGTTTTCATTTTCATAAAACTAGAATCAATTCTAAAATTTTCGAAACATTTGAAAACAAAAACAAAATAAGTGTTTGTTTTCTTTTGTTTTCAAAACAAGTATTCACTCCCTTCCATTCCCTCTCCTTGTAATACTTTTGTTTCAACAAAAGCAAATATCTACAGTTAACTCATACAATCAATGACAATAACATTTGTAATTGTTTTCCACATTATAAATACACCTCAGAATTTATATTCTAATAAGTATTAAGAATCATGTCATGTATAAGTTTAAACAGTAAAGACAAATTTTAGATTGTGTTTATAATGAAGTGGAATAGGAAAAGTAACTCCTTTTTTCTCTAAATCTACTAGGTTCAATTTGTAAAACTCCAAACATTTTGGATAAATTTCTACATTTAATTTTTAAAAAAATCAAAATTGAGTGTAGATTCTAATATGTATTAAGAATCATGTCATGTATAAGTTTAAACAGTAAAGACAAATTTTAGATTGTGTTTATAATGAAGTGGAATAGGAAAAGTAACTCTTTTTTTCTCTAAATCTACTAGGTTCAATTTGTAAAACTCCAAACATTTTGGATAAATTTCTACATTTAATTTTTAAAAAAAATCAAAATTGAGTGTAGTCAACTAAAACTACTCAGTATGAAAGGCTAGCGAGTGGTCAATATGTGAGGTTAGCAGGTGGTTGCATGTATCTTGAGTTTGTAGTTCTAAGGTGGGTCCCAAAGCCTCCTGACTAGGGTCGGTTTTTGGTTATAAAAAAATTAAAACTGAGACCATTCATTAAGATGTAGCTCCACCTGTTCCTTTCAGGCAACAAATTGTGCTACCTATCTATCCTTTCTTCCTGAAATACAATTTAGGGTTCGTTTGGGAAGAGCTATTCCAGGCTTTTTTGGCTATTTTAGCCACAAAAGACAAAATAAGCTATTTTAACCACAAAAAACAAAACATCCCATCCAACCCATAATCATTACACTATTCTCTCACAAAAAAAGTCAAAAAAGCCAAAAAGTCCTTCCCAAACCAAACTTTTTAGCCCAAACTAAAATAGTCAAAAAAAACTAAAAAGCCAAAAAGCTAACCCACTTCCCAAACGGAGGCTAAGCCCCTCTTATTCCCCTCTTGTTTATGTTTTATCTTTTTCTACATAGTTCTTCATCCCCTCTTGTTTATGTTTTATCTTTTTCTACAAATAATAATATATATATAAAAAAAAAAAGGTGTCTACTTACCCATTCTACACAACACCCAGCTGGATACCACGCATCAGATACAAGAAAATAAACAATCAATAAAGTCTTCAACTAATAAAATTCATGAGTACAAGCAAAAATGATTTCATAGCCAATAATAAAAAGAAATACTCAATAGCTTTGAATGCATATTTACCATGAAACAAGGCTGTTGGTGTGTTTCCGTATTAAATCAGAGCTGAAAACATCGGAGGATCTTGCCTCTCCTGTTTTCACATTATAAGTCACAACCAACTTTTCAAAGTGAATGAAGGCCAAGAGTTGGCCATCATCCAGCCAACCAACAGGTATGAAACTCTCACATAAAAAATTTGGTCCATCTATTGTTTCTGTAATCTTGTAAAAGTTTAGCCCATTCATTACAACGTAAGTCTTTAATATGCATACATGAACCTCTGCCGAATGTCTCACAATGAAAGATAAACTATTCCCCCGCTCAAGAAGACTATAACAACTCCCAACAAATTCATTTGGAACTTGAATGGAGTGAGAAGTTTCATCATAAAGGTCAATAACAAAAATATGACTGTTCATTTGAGAGTAATAAATAGCGCCTCCAACAGACACTGAAGCTCTATCATCACAATAAAAACTGATTCCTTTTAGTGAAGTCTCCATTCTTCTCCATGACATATTATTATCCAGAGACAATACAACTGAAGCTCTGTCATCACAATAAAAACTGATTCCTTTTAGTGAAGTCTCCATTCTTCTCCATGACATGTTATTATTATCCATAGACAATACAAACCATCTATATTCTCCACCTGATATCTCACAATGGCAAACCACCTTGTACTCCTCAATGTGAGAAATGTAACCAATATGACAAGAGAGCAAAAGATGACCTTTCGCAATAGGAAAAGGTAAGTTCTTATACTTTTGTGTCACATGATTCCCAACAAAAAGAAATCTCTCAGGATATGAGCCCGAAAATAGCGATAAGCCACGACAACTAGAGACCATATGTCCATGACAATTTAGGTGTGTTGTTCTGAATTCTCCCTCATTGAACTCAAGGAAACATGAATGATATAGCTTACCAAATTTTTGGACGAACAAGCCATCATTTGACTGAAGGAGGTGTGCCTTGATAAAAGAAGGATTAGATATAATTTTGGCCCAAGCCTTGCACACAAATTTTCCACAGCAATGCAAAAACTCAGCAATAAGGCAAACAAGAATGTGAAAAATGATGTCCTCAGGAATAAATGGGATGTCATTTTTCTGTTCCTTTGTTTGAGAGGATGAAGCATTCCTACAATAATGTGGAAGGCAAATAAGAATGTGGAAAATGATGTCCTCGGGAAGAAATGGGATGTCATTTTTCGGTTCCTTTGTTTGAGAGGATGAAGCATTCCTACAAAAATATAGAGAGAAAACTATAAGAATTTGATAAATGATGATAAAAATATAAGACAAATAACAACATTGTTCACACATCTATGGAATAAAAAGCTATAGGTTTGGACATGAAAATGTCTTTGGCACAAAATGAAATACAAAAGGAAGAGAAGCACATACAAAAGAAAAATCTCACTTAAACCAACTAACCAAAATAATAAACTTAGTGTCACCTTCTTTTTATTATTTTTTTCTCTTTTATCTTTCATTCATTTGGATAAATTTTAGAGATATTCATGCCCTGGTAGAGATTTGAACTCTGCACCTCTCTTATTGGCGGCAGGAAACTTAATTTTCATTTTAGATTGGTAATGCGGTACCCCATTTTTTTACTGTTTCAAATTAAAAATAATCTTCATCAACCACATGTGAGATAATTTAATGGGGAAATGCTTTGCAATGGAACAATGGAAAAATAATTTTATTTTCACGGTGGTGCAAGTCTACTAGATGTATGGTGCAAGTCCATTATGTGTTTGGTGTGAGTCTTTACTATGTGTCAGAATTGCACCAAAAAAATTCCATCTGCAGTGCAATTATTTTATGATTGTCCCACTGATTTGCAATTTCCCCTAGTTTTATTGGAAATATAAGAAAGTTAACAAAAATAATTTTGAAACTTGGCAAAGTTTTGCCCAACTCAATGACATTAGTTTATTTTCCATAGCTATAATTTAACAATTTAATTGCGTCAAATTGCAACAAAGAGGAAAGAAAAAGAAACAATATAAACTTATTATTGACAAATTAAAAACACCACCTCAAGAAAGCAAATAAAGTTTAAGAAAGTCATTCAACAACAAAAATTAGCAAAAAGGAAAACAAATTAATGATAAGAACAATCACAATTAGAAGCAATAAATGCATGTGTGTTTGAATGTTGGAGGAATTAAAGAAAATACATATTTGTTAGAAAGAACAACTCGAATCCCTCTTATCTTCTTTTAGATCTAGGGCTCAGTGATTTCGAACTCGAATCCCATGGATCTTCACGAGGACTGAGGCTCAGGAATTGGGGGAGAAACAAATGAAAACGGAGAAAGTGAGATCGTGCGTAAGAGATGATGAGTTTTATTCTCTTACCAGTTGAATTATAGAATATGTGAGATCAAGGTTAGGGCTAGAGAGAACAAGAAGAGAAGACAGAGAGGAAACAAAAAATTATAGGAATAGGTATTAGGGTTGTGTCTCGTACCTCTACCTCAGTCCATATTTATACTGTAATAAAATAACACAATGACATTAGTACCCTCGCTAATAACAATAAAAGGCACTTATAAACGACATATATTCTAACATTACCAACTTTCTTTTGCCCAAAATAGCCTTTTTCCCTATTTCTCATTATTAACCTTAGTCATCATTTAAATTACAAAATGAAAAAAATTATTTCCCAAACCAAACCAAGATGCCAAAAAACCCCAAACAACAAAACACAAGATGGCAAAAAAGGTAATAAAATTTAATTTCTTGGTGACAATGATATGTCCCTAACTAGTGTGGAAAAGATTATTAACTTTGGTTTGCAGTGGTCTTGATATGGAAACAACTAATAAATTAGCTAGCTAGGGCGCATGTGTCAATGACAAACATAAGCTAAGAAAAATTAAGGCAACAAAACCAACCTAGCTAGTAAACCCCCAAAGTTGATAATTTATGTTCTGATTAATGAAAACAATATAGAAAATCAAGTGGGCATTGAAATATGAATTGATATAGATGATTAAAAATGCACTATCATTCATTGAGTTTTTTAACATGAAGAATAAGGCAAACCACTAATATCAAATTTTGATTTGGGTTAATTACACTCTTAGCCCCTACACTTTGACTCAAATTTTACTTTAGCCCATGTAGTTTCAAATTGAACAGTTCGATCCCTATGACTTTAATTCAATTTCAATTTAGTCCTTCTGTCCAAATTTTCGTTAATTTTCCTACATGGGTTTTAGGAAACTAACAAGTGTCCCAAAATTGTTAACTTTCACCTCAAACTTGAATGGAATGACCAAGCAGAAATTAGATTTAGAATGTAGGGATCAAATTATTCAATTTGAAACTATATCAAACTATAAAAGTGAGAAGTGTAACTAACCCTTTTGATTTTGACCAACAGATTGTGAGTAAAATTACAAATTGGTTAAAGAGACAAATATACATTCATAAAAAAGCAAAGCATCAAACTATAAGATATTAGGTTAGGCATAAAAGTTAAATTTTAATATAACAAAAGATAAATGATATTTCATTGCAAATATAAAAAATATGGGAAAAAAATTCAAATTAGGCTCGGCTACTTTAATCTTTGGTCCTATTGCTGGTGACTTAAATGATTAGAGATGTTTCTATATATAACATATGATTTGGTATTGTATCCATCGCAATTCAATACGTATCATACGACTAATTAATCTTTACATATTTCTTCACCTTTGACTCTATTAACAGTTTTTTTTATTCTTTGTCTTTTTCACTATCAATCATCATGACCAATTGATGTAAACAGATAGAGGAAAAACACAAGGGCCACAACCCAAATCACACAAATTTATTAATCAACTATGTCCAATACAATTACCACAACTTCTTATTTTCAAATCACACAAATCTATTAATCAACTATATCCAATACAATTACCACAACTTCTTATTTATAGGCAAAAATCCCAATACTAAAAAGAAATTTAGAGTTCTTAACAAAATAGGAAACCAAATACTAAAAAGACTCCTAATTAAACAATAATTTAAAATACTAATGACATCAAATTATAAAATTGTAAATAAAATTTCCATATCAAATTGGTGTGCCAATAGTCAGTGAACCATGCAACAATGCTACATTTCCCTAATTTATCACCCCTAATGATGTGACATTGAGATTAGACTCCACATGATAGAATGCTTAACAAATCAAAATTTGATACTTGTCAGACACATCATTAGGAGTGGTTTTTAGGGATGATAAATTAGGTGTCTCAAGCATTTTTCGTGAACCATATTCTTAGACAATCCCATACAAAGAATACCAATATCCAAATAAACTCATAAGCAAAAATGAATGCCTTATTCCCTTTCCTACAATAAATTGAATTACTCTCATGCGCCTAATTCAAGTGAAAGGAACATAGTGTTTACACACAAATTGTAGGATTTGAGTTTAGACTAGAGATTTGAGCCAAAAGGCTTATTTCAACCATGACAATAAACCATATAACAAGTATGTTTGCTACTACTCATATCCAAACAAGTATTAAAGAATACCTTTGGTTGCAAATCATGAACTTGGAAAAAACTCACACAAAAGGCAAGCAATAACTTCTATCATAGGACTACAACTGATCATCAATGAAATTAACATAAATGAAATTTTATTTAGTACTAAAGCTAAAACAAGATATAAATTCAAGTAAGAAGTTTGTAACAATAAAGGCGGACCAAAAGGCAATGTTGTATTTGTGACGTATGTTTCCACAATTAAACTTATTTAGCAAAAGAGAATAAATATCAATTGCATTCAATCCCATAATTTACATGATTATTGAACTTACAAACAAGTGCCATGTTTTCACACAAACACTGGTTACTGAATATAAGCATCTAGATAAAATTCTACATGACCAGAAGTGTATTAATAGGTTTGAACTACAACTAAAAGGAAACTAAATCATTTTAATCTAATTGGTTCGGACCATCAAATCAAAAAAGCATACACATATATATATATATATTGATGAAGATCAAATCCATATGGTCCTGAGCTGATCTACCAATCTTGAAAAAGAAGAGGCGATTCTTTAGTGACACCATTGTGGTGTCATCCAATAGCCCTCCAATGGTTCAATCAGTACTCAATTTGATGGAATAGAATAAGAGTAGAGATAGATTGAGAGGAGAGATTTAGGGTTGCTGAATATTGCCTACCTTGTGTTTGTCTTACCTTAAGTCTTTCATAGAGAAACTCTAATATGAGCTAGCAATGGTGGGCCACAGATGGAGGGCCATGTGCACACAATTGGGCCAAGCCCGAAGGCTCTTGTAGCATAGTTAGTTCTATATCTATCATATATCATCATGGTGCAGATGTCTTCACTAAAGAGTATGTGCCTGAGTTTAAAAACATACCTTCACATGCTAATCTTTACTAAACAACCCCTAACGTCCACGTATGAAATATGTAGATTTCATAAAATTACAATGTGTGTGCACATATGTATGGACTACCTAAACGCATGAGTTTCACACAAGCTACCTGCACTTGTACAAAAACTTATCGAATTAATTATGGTGTGAGAAGAATACATTTGAATCAGACCCAATGTATAATTAGCATGAGCATGATTCATGAGCAAGTCCATACCATATCCATGTAAGACCAGAATTGGTCTAAGTCACATGGTGCCCTATCACTGTAAGAGAATGCATTAGATAGAATGTGATTCAAATCGCACTTAGTACCTTTATAGGAAACAACATAGGGCAAAGATAACTATTCCCAAACCTAAATGTCCTCAAAATTTAATCAATGTGTACTACTCAATGGTGTTACGACATCAATTATTGTGTAATGACAACTTTTGAGTTAAGGTAATTTTGAATCAAAGATGAGAAGTAGCCTAGCGATAGAGTAGGGTCATGTTTGATTCATAGATACGGGGACAAGTACGACTATTTATCCTAGAGTGAGTTCAGTTCAACTTTTGTGATTTGGGATAACTGTCTAAAATAGATATTATGATTTTTTATTTTTTTTCACATTTCTCTCCCAACATGTAAATTGTGAAAAGTTACTTCTTATTTTTATATGATAAAATATAAATGCTATGTTTGGTTTGTATTTCAGGAAAAGAAAAAAAAAAAAAAACAGTTTGAAAAAAAAAAAACTAATTTCATAAAAATAAATATCAAAAAGATATTTTAAAATTTATTTCTGACCTCCTAAAATATAAAATTATGTAAAAATGATAAGTTTTTGAATTTTTTATTTCTTTCACCAAACAATTTTTAGTTTTTTTTTTTTTAATTTGAAACAAATTTATGAAAATCGAACCAAACATGGCCAAAGTATTTCCAATCCAGAAAATAAAGAAACTGTTTTATTTCCATGAATATGTATAAAATATATCTTTATTTGTTGTCATGTCCCTTCATGTCAAGTCCTAATTTTTTTGGAAATTTTTGCCAATGTGTTCATATCCAGTCATTTCCGTCTCTTGTGTCCATATCCAGATATGGGGTGGGCTGTCACACTCCCGTGAGGTTTGTTCCAATCATGTTTGATCCGAGCCATTCATATTGTAGGATTTGTTGGGTATATCATCCATATCAAAAATGAAATTAATCGGATAAGTAGAATCCTATAATCAAGCCAAATAATAACCCAAAAAAATTATTAAAATCATGTTAACTGTTTATTTTTTCTAAACATAAGCGTGGTTATGTTGTAGGTTACAGATGTCTAATTAACTTGAATTTTTTCATAGATGATCTACTCAGCAAACCCTACTTTATGAATAGTTTGGATTAATAAAATAAATTTGGGACACGCCTTCACAGGGTCACAACACGGTGCTATGCCTATAAGGCACAACACCAACCCCAGGTTCATCCATATCCATCCTTCTTGGCCTTTAAAAATTCTATACAATTGAAAGTCATTACCAGCGAGATTTTAGTCATTATTTTGCATCTCTTTCCAAGTTTATAAGCAAAATAGACTCCGCATGCACCATGTTATTAGCTTCATAGTGTTTCCCCAATTAGAACATGTTTGTCTAGTCACATTTTCGATGGGAATGGCTCCTACAGTCTTACTCTGGAAATTATGCTAGTCTCTATTGTGTGAGTATTAGGATAATCACACTAATCAAATTTAAAAAGCACCAAAGAAAATGATATCATGAATTTATTTATTTTTTGATCGGCAAAGAAAAATTCCATTAAAAATATGAAATTTGAAGGTACAAACTCTTGAGTCCCACACCTAAAACATTGTTACACTGATACACTGATAAACCCCATGTCTGACTCAAACACCGTTACACTCTTGATCCCCGCGCCTGTCCCGAAATTAAGTTTCATTCATGAAATTAAGTTTCATTCAGACAAAAAATATAAACTCTTCCAGGTCAAAAATCGAAATAGTTGAACATATGGTTTTTGATTTCAGCATTTCAATAATTGAAAGTCACCTTTACCAATAATTGAGCATATAGCTCCCATATTAGATTAAGACTCCTAGTTTTAAAATTTTCAAGGCTTATGTATAAGTTGTCAATTCCATCTCAATTCATCACACTTGGCTAAAGATTTTCAAAACCCCCTTTTCCCAAAAAAAAAAAAAAAAAGAGCAAGGGGGAAAAATCCGGGCGTGACAGATTGAAATTGCTTTGCTAATAATTTTTGGTAAAGATTTTCAGCCCACAATGAGTAAGAACCAAGTGTAACCACCATAAGCATAATAAGAAAATACCAACCAAACCAATACATGAGTTACTCACTATGAAGCATAGACACCTCTCCAGAGGCGACGTACAGGTGTCCAACATGTGTCAGACACGGACACGGACACGCCATGGACACGCTCCTAACACGTGTGGGACACGCTCCTAACACATGTGGGACACGCTATAGACACGTTGGGACACGCTGTAGACATGTTGGGGATACGTTGAGGGCACGTTGAGAGCACATTGAGGACCTATGAAGCACAGACACCTCTCCGAGGGTTACGTATTAGTGTCGAACACGAATACGCAGTGAACATATGTTTGACATGTTGCAAAAGGTGTCCCCTTTTTTTCTTTTTTTTTTTGTGCAGCCGGACACGTTATGGACACGTTTCGGACATAATGGGTCAAAAACATAATTTCTGAAACTTCAATTGGGGGCCCTAACCTTGATTTCAAACAGAAAGAGGAGAAGAGGCTGAGAGAAGGTTGCTAGCTACTCTTTGCTCTTGCGCAAGTTTGTTTCTCTTCTTTCAATCTTATTTTTTTCTGCTTTTCGATTTGTCTCTCAGTCGCTCTCTCTCTCTCTCTTTGCTTTTTTTTTGGCTTTTCTCTATCTCTAACTCTATCTCTGTTATTTATTTATTTTGATTGATTAGTTTATTTATTTATTTATTTTCTTTTCCTTTCAAAGATTTTTTTTTAATTTTATGACATATAATAAATAAATTTTAATTATATATATATTGAACGTGTCCCCAATGTGTTATGTCCCTCATTTTTTGAAAATTTGCATGTTTGCGTGTCTGTGTCATGTCACATGTCCGTGCTTCATAGTTGAGGACCATTTTTTTTTTCAAAGTTTTGTATTTTTATTTTTATTTTTTTTTACTAAAATAGCATACCTAAAGTTGATAAATTTGATAAAATTAAATATTTAACATAAAATAAATATTAAAAATTTTAAAACATGACATATAATAAATATATAAAATTATATATTTTGCACGTATCTCCAATGTGTCGTGTCCTGTATTTTTCTAAAATTTGTATGTCTGTGTCATGTCACGTGTCTGTGC